ATTCAGTATATAATCAACTATCAATATTTTTGGTCAGTGTACCCGCAGAAAAGCTGTATTTTTTAAAATGGGTATATCTGCTAAATGTAACTGTTTTCGACATTTAGAAGTACAGTTAAATAAAGGTGATCTCAAAGCAAACATGAATGGATTACAACCCAATGAAAATCTGATAAGATTCACAAACCTGTTCAGAGGCTCATCATCAAACGTCGCAGTGAAGTACACTTCTCCTGTTGGAACTGGGGTCTTGTATGTTACCTATGCATGTCAAATAATGCATATTTATAAACGACATGAAATAGCTCATAACCCAAGCTATTTCGTTTGAACACTGATCATGGATAACTCTACTGATACATATTTTGCTTTTTTGGTGAGCAACGTGCATTACAACAAATATTTATTATTTGGAATGAGCGGAGACTTACCTCAAAAGACACATTGGCGTCTGCTTCGGTGCTTTCTCCACTGTCTGTCTCCATGTCCACATCTCCATCTTCCACTTGAGCCTCCTCTTCATCATCCAGCTCTTCTTTCTGGGCCCATGTTACCATGGAGATGGAGAGCAACAAGAGACACGTCCAGCCCCACCGCAACTTCATCTACACACAAAAAAAGAGCATGACCAACAGAAACATGACCTCATTAAAAACATGCAGCCTTTAAAAAAAGCGATATTTTTTCATTTTATATTCTTCTTTGGGGCGGAACGTCTTATCTTATGACACGCTGACCCCGATATCGATCGACACATCTGCCATCAGAAGAGGAGCTTATTGTTTACTATTTCTATATTTTACCGCAAAACTTAATGCTTTATTAAATATTGGCAGTTGAACAGAACAGCAAATAGCAGACGTTATGCCAGCAGAAAAAAGCGAGTAACAGGTAACGTTAACGTTAATCTTCAAAAATATTTACAATAAATTCCATATTTTACATTTATTCACAATTACTTCCAGCTCTTCGGTGTTTGGGGTTTCTTAAAACAGTCATATATTTTACTTTTTAAATAGTATTATTTACAATATTTATACCAATATATTACATTATTATAACGCCCTCTGGCTAGCTGCGGTACCGTTAGCTGGGCGATGACGATGATGAAGATGATGATGGTGGCTGTCTGCATGTTCAACGTTTAGTGTTCAGCAAAAAATGTCTTTGTTCACTCACCTCCTCCAGCTGAATGAATATTGGCAATATTTCGGTTAACTGTAGCTTAAGCGGATGGGTTTGTCATCCAGTATTTCGGCGCGAAGAGTCCGCTATGAATGAGCGATAGCCAGTGTTATCAGAAGCGCAGGATGCCACTGACAACCGCCCCTCTGCGATAAAAACCCCTTCCGCGACACCTGTCAAAATAAAAGTCCCGTTTATTTACACAAATATTTATTTGCCATTGCACTGTATGATATAACCAAATCCACTTTTACATCTCACGCCAAAATAAAAGTCTAATTAATTCATTTATCTAGTCATTGGTTGAATTCGGAACCGCATACTACTGCTTTATCTATTTGAGAAAAAGTAAGATTAGTATGCTAGTACGGTGTTCCAAATCCAACAATTTTTATAGATGCTGTCAACTGCTCCTCTATGATAAAATCCACTTCCGCTAAACCTATCAAAATAAAGGTCCCCTTAATTTATACAACCTTTTGTTTTCATATACCTTTTACACACTGACACTTGATCCTCTGACTACTGTAATTAAAAACAGTCTTATTATCCTGAATGTTTTTTCTGTATGTTTTCACAAAATAAAATCCGCTTGTGCATCTCTTGTTTGAAAAGTTTTCGTCATTTTTACACCCATTTTTATAAGCACTGCATTCAGCATACTGCTTTTAATTAATATGTTAAAGACATTTATATACATGCATCAGTAATTATATATTTTGAAAAAATATATATCAATATGCATTTTAAGTATTTCCAATTTGAAGTGTCTGAGTGATATTCCTAGACGTAAAGCCTACCATAAATGCCGACTGAATGTTAAACATAAAAACAGCAGAGAGGTTATTTTATTTAAATAACTAACACCAGAAAAGTCTATTATTTAAATTGATCAACAATATTCAAGATTAAAGATTCAAGATTTTTATTTGTCACATACATGGTTATATAGAGAATATATGACCAGCAGTGAAATGTAAGTCAGGTCCGCTCCATGGACAGTGCAATTAGGCCTATTAAAGAATACAAACACAAGAAAATTATATATAAATATAGGTATGGAAAAAAGATAAAAAAATAAGAATAAAATAAAATGCGCAGGACAGTATACTGTAGACTTAATAAATATTAAGATGAGCAGGAATTTACAAGAGAAGAATGTGCAAACAGGTTGTACAGGGTAGTTACATAGCAGAAACAGAGGTAAAAAAGTAAATAAATAAAATATTACAGAAATTGCTGTGTGCAAGTGGCAATGTCAGTATATTAAGTGTCTTAATGATAATTAAGTGAAGTCATGTTGGTGTTAAGAGACTGAGTTTGAGTTTAGAAGCCTGATGGCCTGGGGAAGAAGCTCCTCCTAAGTCTCTCGGTTTTTTTGCCATCAGGCTACGGAAGCGCTTACCAGATGGCAGCAAAATGAAAAGACAGTTACCAGGGTGGTTGGAGTCCTTGATGTTTTTTGCATCTCTGCTTTTGCAGCGTTTGAGGTAGATGCAGGGCTTTGCAGTCTTGACTGGAGCTG